TCTGTCCGAGACAATGTTGTTGTCATGCATGTGTTATTGTGACATGTGGTGATTGATTTGAACTACTTGTTGAATGATGTGGAATCCTGTTAAATAATGGATGGAATTACTGTGACATGTGGTGAACGGATGTGATTCATGTGGTATGTGTGATGGATTGTGACATATAAGGTCCTGGATGTGGTATATATGTGATGGATGTGATATATATGCCATATGTTGTGTTTGTAGTGATCGAAAGCAAAAAACAAAAAAAACAAAAAAATTTGGTCACTTTGCCGAGTGTAACACTCGACAAAGAGCCTTTGCCGAGTGCCTTTTGCCCTGGCACTCGGCAAAGCTGCCAAAAAATGCGCTACCAGGTCTCTTTGCCGAGTGCCAGTAGCAAAGCTGTGTACACTACCATGTGTTTCCCAGCTTTGCCGAGTGCCAGGACTCTGGCACTCGGCAAAGAATTTTTCAAAAAAAATATTTTTTCTTTGCCGAGTACCGTCTCAGCTAGGCACTCGGCAAAGGATTTTTCAAAAAAAAATATTTTTTTTTTGCCGAAAGTCGGGTCGAAGGCACTTTCGACAAAGGATTTTCAAAAAAATATTTTTTTCTTTGCGAGTGCCGGGTCGAAGGCACTCGGCAAAGGATTTTTCAAAAAAGGAAAAGCTTTGCCGAGTGCCTTCCTGACCCGGCACTCGGCAAAGACGCCGTCAACGGCTGACGGCCAATTTTCTTTGCCGAGTGCCGTCCTGGCACTCGGCAAAGCCTTTGCCGAGTGTCCGACAAACGGCACTCGGCAAAGAACCCTTCGCCAGATGCGGTTTTGTCGTTTGCTCTTTGCCGAGTGTGGCACTCGGCAAAGCCTTTGCCGAGTGCAATAGGGCCTTTGCCGAGTGCCCCAGGCACTCGGCAAAGAGCTCATCTCCAGTAGTGATGGTTTGGCGCCGAGCTCGCTAGCAAGTTCACCACCAAAATGCTGCCCACCATGGACCTATCATGGACGCAACATTTCTCCTCCACTATGGCCTCCTCCGTCGATGATGATGCCCACTTCCGCCACGACGACATGTGTAAGTTTGGTGGAGGCCCCTCCTCACTTCGGATCTTGGTTGGCCGCATCAGATCTGCGAGAGGCAGGGAGGGTGAAGGAGATAGAGAGAGAGAGAGAGGAGAAATAAAGAGGATGAGGGCCCAGTCCGAGACCACTGCCAGTGAGCCCCTCCTAGATCCGCCATATGAAAGTCACTTCTGAGCCGGGCAATCCCCCTACCCCCCAAAAATCTAAGCATGTCACGCGCGAATTAGGATGCCTCCACATCAGATCTACAAGTGAGAGATAGGGATGAGCAAGAGTTGAGGGGGAGAGAGAGGGAGGGCAATCTCACCAGATCGGGAGGCATCCCTCCGCAGGGCTCGACTATGTTCTTCGTGTAGTGGTGGGTGGGTGACAATAGGGGGCGTGTCCGAGGCAGCCATGGTGTTTTTGGAGTGGAGTAGGGGAGAGGAAGAGGCGGCCCACTGGCATACGCATGCCACGCTGCCGTGGGGGAGAGAGTTGGGTAGGTAAGAGAGGGGTGGGTGAGGAGGGGATATGATAGGTGAGGTGTGGACAACTGAGGAGTGGGGTGGCTAGAGAATTGGGATGGGAATTAAGGTATTTGGAGCACACAGTCCTTTTATAATTGTGAAATCAATTTCACCGTGGGCTCGTATCATGAACGAAGCATTGGTGAAAATGATATTCAACGCTAGTTCGTATCATGAAACGGCAGTGTTATATTTTTAGAAGCGTTTTTTAATGATCCATTGATGAAAATGTTTTCTGTAGTAGTGATTGACAATATTACAGCGATAGACCCTATGAAAATACTATAGCAAAGCTACAGGTGTGCTATAGCTAGACTATAGTAGGTTATTTAGAACCACGGTAATAAGATTTAGAGCTTTACTAAACAATAGCAAGTAGAGTTCTGATTGTAGCTTTAAAAAACCATTTATCTAGAAAATGCTTCAGTCAAGATATACTGGATCATTTGAAATATTTTAACGAAAGTATTGAAATTATGATAAATTCTACTTGGCAAAGTAAATTCTCATGAACTGCATAAATGGTGATTGTGCCTACTTCATCCTTGTTTAGAAAAAGTTAACAATTACCTGTTTTATCATGAAAATCTGCATACAAGATGCATCTGCTTTCAACAATCTCTTTTTGCAATATTAGTAATGTACAAGTCAGAATGGTGGTTGGTCTCATTGTCTCTTTATAAGATCAATCAATCTAGGAAACTGGCATGTGGTGGTTTCATCAGCATAGCATATATATACTTGTGGATGCACGTGACCAATATGTAATTATATCTATTATTTACTTGTGGATGTTGCAGGGTGCATGGCTGCTTTGGATGCTGAGCACTATCTGCAGGAGGTCGGGGTCGGTGCACAGGAGGGCAAGTCTGATGATCGAGTGTCTGATTGACTAGATCAGTTGACGGTGCCGTAATATAATAGGAGCCGCAGTCTTATGAGCGGTATGCCATGGGTTGTCATGATTGAAAATAAAACCTGAATAATCACGCTGCTTAGTAGCACACTATATATTCTTCTCATTATGATCCAGAACTCTAAACTTACAGTGATGTACTGCAAACCGTTTCGTGTTTACCGGCTATGAACTTATCGTTTTACAAATCTTTATTGTCAATATGGTCGCTACGTTATTCGTGTTGTATTATCTAAAAAAAATGTTATTCGTATTGCTAAGCTGAGCTCATACCCATCAAATGTCTAGCAGCCTTTCAGCTTCCGCTCAGTTTCATTCTCTCTTTCTTTTCAGGGGAGTTACCTACATGCTTATACATATTCAGTCATTCGGACATTCAGTCAAGCAGCCTGAAGACACACACTGGCCAACCGGCCTTCGGTTAGCCCACGATCTCCATCACGTATGGACAATCAATTTCCGCCTGCCGCGCAAGGCCCAGCTCCGTGTGCGTGCTGACATAAGGCCTAGATTAGGCAGATCAGGCTAGTGGGCTGCAACTTTCTCTTGTATGATTGGCCGTACACTACCACTCTACTTACAACTTGGTTGCGTACTAGACTATGCAGGCCTTGAATTTAAATTCTCATGTTCATATTTTATAATTTTATCAAATTTGACTAAAATTAATTTATTCGAGATGATTCAATACAATAGAGAGCTACTTCGTGCCAATTAGAACTGCTAGATCAACATATGAGCCCCACATCAAAGTTGGACCCTAGAACTAAACTCTCGTGCTCACACTTTAAAATCATAGAGAAATTTACTAAAATTTATTTTGTATGCCTCAATACGAAACGAAACTACTTTATGCCAATTAGAAGTTTAGAACTCAGCAAAGTTGGCCTGGCCCGACTCAGCCCACCAAGCGTGGCCTGGTCCGTGAACCTTATTGGATAGGACCTAGGCATAGCTCTCTTCTAGTTTTACATAAAAAAATATCAGCTCAGCCCGAGGTTGACACAAAATATTCCTTTTATTTATTTATTTTAAAATTGAAAAATAGTAGGCGGCCTACTGAGGTCCAACCCGAACTCAGCCCAAAGTTGTCGGTGCATATTTTATCCCTGAACTCAATCCACCATTTTGCTGGTTGAGTCTAGCTTGACCCGCATGATGCATAGTTCAAGTGTAGCAAGATCTGCATGTGAACCCCCACATCAAAAGTCGGATCTCGGACCAAAAGCTCACGTTCACATCTTAAAATTTTAGCGAAATTAACTGAAATTTGTTAGAAATGATTCAAAATGATATGAACCAAAAGCTCGCGTTCGAAATTTGAAGTGTATGAAGCTACATGTGCCGATTTGTGCACCAAGATCAACTTGTGGGCCCCACATAAAAAGGAGGACCCACAGACTAAAAGCTCACGCTCACACCTTAAAAATTTAGCGAAATTAACTGTTACTGAATGTTAAGCCAATTTATGTGTGAAGATCAATATGTTTGTCCCATATCCACCACAGGACCTTGGAACTAAAAGCTCCCATTCACACCTTAACTTTCAGCAAAATTCATTTAAATATGTTGCAAATGATTTAAAGTGATATGAAGCTATTTTGTGCCAATTTACATGCCAAGATCATGAACTAGATTGGGATTTCACGTAATTTGAGTTAGGGGACAAGGGAACTAGAATGACATTTGACTGTAACTAGTTAGCTGGCCCAAAAAAACACTATTGGGTACCCACCTGCATCCTTATTGTTGAACATTTCACCAAGTCATCCAAAATGTCCTTAGAGTGCTCATGGATAGCAGAACCATAAAACAGTTACAATCTCCCACCCTAAAGTTAGTTACTCTATTTCTTATAGCCATGTGGATATAAAACTCTAAGATGGTCAACCTTGATTCCCACTATAATGCCTCCAAATCTTCCTTTTGGTTGGATCCATCTGCAATCAACAACCACCTCAACTCAGCGTGCTCGGCTGGTACGTTGAACAGTGGATTTTGGATTATTTCGGATGATTCAATAATGTTCTGTGAGAAAGAATAAGCTGAAACAAGCTGAAAGTAGTACAGCCGAACATGCTGCCCGAACGAGCTGCAGCCGGCCATATGCATGAGGACAACCAAATTGTAGCTGCGTGTCTAACACCACAAGCAGCTAGAAATCTATGGGAATTGAGTGGAACAAACAAAATCAACCCACTTTTGATACCATATTGAAGATTAAATGGAAAGTGCAGAGAAGACCCATGGACACAAGTTGGGGAAACTCTCCAACTATCCTTCTTCTAGATCTCCACTCTATGTTCTTTTATTTATCTCTTTTCAATTTTCTCCTTTAGTCTCTACAATATTACGTAGTTACAAAAGAAGGCTTACACACATGCACACCATCAGGAACACGCTTGATTGTGACAGTCGACATATCTATCTTAGCTGTCCATCATGACGAGCTTCCTCTAGTAGAACTCAATGCTCGAATGGCACACGCTTGGTACCATGAAATCCTTTAGGCATTGAACATGCTGAATGACTTTATCTTACTTGCAAAAGATCTGTAATATTGCAAAGAGAGCAACTTGATTGGACAATCATGAACGCAGGAATTAGTTATGAATAATAACGGTTGGGGCAGTCGCTTCTCTGTCTGAATCCAGTCCATGGCTGAGCCCAGAAACTTGGCAGGTGCGTGCGCAATCCACGAGTTCATGAACTCATTATTCACACTTGCCCATCCCTGTACCTTCTTGACCTGCTGTCGTTCAGAACGTTTTCCACCCATGTCTTTCTGAGTGGTTAGTCTCCATGGGATATTCTCAACCCGAAGAAATGCGCCACCATGCTTGGACTTCCACAGCATCTGATATGAGGTAGCTGCAACATTCCCATGAAGGCAATCTACCGCCTTTGGTAGCATCATCTTGCACAGTTGTTCAAAGCAGGAAATGTTCGCACAAAAACTGCCATGTTGCACGGCCTCCCCGTTGATCATCTCTGTTGCTGAACCCTCAACTCTCGGCGACAAATCTTGAAAGGAGGTATGGGGCCAGAAGTGCATTCCAAATTTCGATAAGGAAAGTCTCTCGGTTGACTTGTTTCACTTTCTTCATCGATGACCGCTCTTTGCTTGTTCTTCTCAACTGAGAGTGATACATGGGCCAACAAGTACACATGCATAACTGGTTCCAAGTATATATCACAGAGCAATGATTCTGATGATGAGCTTGTGGCATTGTAGCTCTGGGCATAGTAATGATCTTGTTGCTGACAACAAAGCGGGTTCGGTTGAAACCATTTTGAACGGATGCTGTAAAGATTGTTTTGGCGTTCACAAACAGATGATACCCAGCACAAGTCTTGTGTTGGTAGCTGGGTGAGCTTTGTCTTCACGGCCTCGACTGTTGAGCTCAAGTGAGGTATGAATAGCTGTAGGCAGCTTACTGCAACACCAACTATGTCGATACTCTCGGAAAGCCGTAAATTGAGGGCAAGAAGAAAATTGTTCTCTGATGCATTGCTATCTTTAAGTAACAATACTAGGGCACCATCCACCCCATGGTCATGTGTTCTAAAAGGCTGTAAAAGAAACGACAGATGTTGACTCCCGCGAACAAAGCAATACTTTGTTCTTTTGCCAGCGAGAAGATGGCGTATAAGAGGGTCAAAGAACATATATCTACGTGGTGTGCCACCAAGCTCCACATACCTCAGGAACTCACTCGCACCATCTGCATACCTCTCGAACCGCCGGACGGCAGCAGAGCTTCTCAGCTCATCCTCGCTGCCACGGCTAAAGATGGACGAGACGAACGACCTGGCAGCATAAGCAATCTGCTTAGGAAAGGAGCTCCTTACACTGTTTTGCATCTCTTCCTCTTCGTGCAGGCGCTGCCTGCACCTGCGAAGAGTGTGGTCGCACTCCTGCACAGTGCGCTTGAGCTTGCTCTGCCATCGCAGCAATGGAGCGCTGGTGGTGATGTTCCACTTGTTGGATGTCTCGAGGGCAGCCTCTAGCTTGATGTGTGCCATCTCCATCCTCTCGATTCGGTCCTTTGCTTCTGAGTTCTGCTCACACCTGTCCTTGAATCTTGATAGGACCTGATTGACAGCCTCCTGGGCAACTGCAGAAGTGACAATCTCTGCTGCCATTAGGATCGATCAAAGCAATGCGACCTGTAGAATCGATTGTCCTGCGAGCTTGGAAAGAAAGCAAGGTACTCATCAATATACAAAAAAAAGTTGGACAAGACGAGCGACCAGCTAGAGTAGGGGAAACCAGAACCTGGAGAGGTCGAACAGGGTCGCAGCAAACATTTTGAGGTTCTATCCTGCCGAGCGAAGTGATATATAGAAAAGCCATAGGTACCGAGAGCAGTGGGAATGTGCCGTCGTGAGCCAGAATTCCACGCACAGGGACCGAGAGCAGTTAAGTCAACGGTGGACTAAACGTAGAAGATCTTTTTTTTTAACCGGAGTTCTCTATCTATCAAACTGGCAGGAAACTTCCATCGTACGTACATTGGCAGGGAACAGGTAAAAAAATAAACGTAGAAGATGTAGATTGATTACCTACGCTAGGATAAGGGTTAGTTAGGTATATATTGACTAAGAAGACATGGGAAGCAAGGAAAATAATCCTTGTCACAGTCATAGTCTAACAAGATGGAGTTCTTTTGTTTTTGCAGAAGTTCTTAATGCCACATGGCTTACTTTGTGTTCACAAATAAGGGCCCGTTTGATAGGAGAAACGTTTCAGTTTATGATTGTTGACGCAAAAATATGGCGATGCGCCTGACACATTGCAAGCCGGACGATCTTAGCGGAGTCAATCCGGAGATCTGCTTGGCTTCAACACAGGGCCAGTCAATCCTAAAAATCCCAAAAGCGTGCCAGTCAATTTGACCTGCAATAGACAAGGAGAGAAAGTTTTATCAGTAGTTTAGTGTGGAACATGTCGATGTTGTACCAGACAGTTTCAATATGTGGCCAAATAGCCGATTCAAAGGGGCTATCGACTAAATAGTCGATATCCAGCGTATTCATGGAATGAAGGCCTTTGAATCAAGGATTATCGGCTAATATTAAACGATAATGATACGAATCGGCTAAAATAGCCGATTCGATGGGGCTATCGACTAAATAGTCGATATCCAACATATCAGTAAAGTAAGGATCGCTGAATTGATGATTATCGGCTAATATCAATGATGATGGTACGAATTCAAAATAACCGATACTCATGAGTCATAGCGATTTTACTATGATTGATTAATCTAGACAGAACAAGTACAATACACCTAGATATAAGTAATATAAAGAAACATCATCAGCTAGATGGATATAACCAGTGTAAAGCATTGAGCCGATAAGTTTAATGAGAAAGGATATAATATGCGAATAAATCGACTGTCTGGTACACATGAATCTACAAATGCTTTGAATCAAATCTGTTACCATTAACACTGAGGTTCGACCGGATCGATACAGCTATGATAATGATAACAAACTAAATCCAAAAATCCATAAAACCATCTATATATTGACAGACTCATGAAAGCGTGCCACATATGTGAAAGCACAAGCGAATCGGCTAAAATAGCCGATGCATGCATAGCAAACAAACAGAGTACATATCTCGACCATGAACAAAATCACTAATAGATAATCTCTAACCTAAAGTCTTACCAGTGATGTTCGACTGGATTGATGCAGCTATAGTAGTGTCATTAGATTGGATCTCATTAACTAGTGAGTTTATTCAGGATTGAAACATGTCTTTGAATGCATACTATGTTTGATTGAAATAAAGATAAAACAGCCAATCTAGCATAATCAAGTCATCAATCATAAGATTCAAAGTGTGACCAGACTAGAAGACGACCAATTGTGATGATATGATGCCGATCTATCTCTATCTTAATCAGGTGATTTGTTATAATTAATGGAACATTAATTATAACAAGATCGATAACTGGTGAATAAGCCAAAAACGGCAAGAAAAATCTTACTAATCTTAGCAGATTCGATAACTGATGATATTGTATTAAACAACAAGTTGTTTAACACAAGATCGGTAACTTTAACCTATATTATGATTCGTAAGAGATCAATCAGCTAATGCAGCCTTACAAATAATGATACAGATCGATAACTAACTTATATTATACTCGTAAAAGATCAACCGGCTGATGCAGCTTTACAAGTATGATACAAGTCGTGACGGTACTCATAGACAAGCCGAAGGTCGATCGGTCGATGCAACCCTGCTTGTTGAAGAACTCATCGAGATCAACGGTACTCCTACTCCTAAGGATTAGCATGAAGCTGAAAAAGTAATTGTATTGAGTGATTGAGAGATTCTCTGGTACAATAGACTTGGGTTTATATTTATACCCTGGGTTGATAAGAGTCCTAAACGAACATGACTAGATAAAAAAAGAAATATCAAGATACATGGACTCTAATTTCCCTTATATAAAATCCTTGTTGATGAAGCTTCCTTGTTTGATACGGTTTCTTTCATCGTTATATGCAGCTGGACGTCGTGTTTCTCTAAATAAAATAATATTTCCTTTCCTTTCTTCCACGTATATGATGCTTCTTGTGTAGTTCGTTGCCAAATATTTAGAATATTAAATAACCTTTCTTACTCGAAACACGCAGCACCATTAATCTCCATGCAGCACATTGCTCATGCTCGGCCAATCGTATTTGGCTACATACATATCATATATTAGCCGAACATGCAAGTCTGTTGTACGCATGTCTCTCCTTTCCTTTAATCTTCTAGCTTCTCCCGTATTTTCACGTGAGGAGCTTTCCGATGTCATGTCCCTCTCAAATATATTAAATAATATTTTCTGACCGGCTCATTAATATCCCTTAATTATGAGACTTTTTTGCTTTTGACATCATCGGTCGATCTCTTCCTTTCCAAGATAATCTTACCAAATTTTGGTGTAAATACAGGCCTCCCTAGTTCGGAGTATGAATTTTCATGCTTCGAACTATTTTGATCCAATAATCTCCTTTCCCGAGTCAGCAACATCTGATTGCAATACTTGGTTTTGATAACTTACTTGGGTTGACTGTTTATCTGCTTTAGCCGATTAAGAACTGGTCCTCGAGTTTATAACTATAATCGGCTATCAAATCACTGGTAAGGAGCTGAAGTATTCACTGGTAGTAATATTATCTTATTCCAAGCCTCACCTATACATGTGAACTTTGAAGTGTCTATCACGCCATCTTGGGTGGTTGAAGAATGGAACGAATTAAAATCCAGTCATCCTCACTTCTCCTGCTCAGAAAAGTTAGGTTTTTTGAAAGATTTTTAAATTAAAACATAGCTTTGCTCCCCCAAATGATTCTCTTAGATCTCTCAATGAGCATAGTTCCTCATTAAGACATTGTTTCACCTCTATTTACCCTACTTCTAAAAAGCTTATGTGGAATTCGGTAGGGATAAAGTATGTAGCATCCTTACCTTGTGTATCGTTAAGTCAAACCCTAGATCAAAAGAGAGAAGTGTCGTACTCTTAGATCAAGATGTGCATGTGTGTGGAATATTTAGTGGCTAACCTAATTCTACTATGCTCTCTGAAATATATTTCTCTGTTGTGGAATATTTTTGCGAGAACATGGGTTATCTTTATTCTCATCTCTTTTTCTTTTTCCTTTTTATCTTTTTTACTTTGGACCTCTTTTGTGTCCATCTTTTTATATTTTTGCATAACCCATGTCTCTTTTTACAACAATTTTTGAAAGAAATATTATCAAGAACTTGGAGCATTTATTCTGATAAAACCTAGCAAACATATTTTTGTCTTCTCCTAGTGTAGGAGCAGAACATTTTGAGGTGGATGAAAAGCATATTTTTGCATACTTCCAGTGTAGAAGCAGCACACATATGTAGCGAGTACGTGATCTTGATCTTGGGAGCATGATAAATCTCTCAACAAGGGTCAACGAGTCTTGACAAAACTCAACACAAAACAAGCAGCTTATGTGGAAGGTTTTTAATAATAACATATGGCTTGGGTAGGAAATTCAACATCATCGAGAAGACAAGCTATTGATTTTGAATTTTTTTAATAAAATTTCTCAAGTACTTTACAAAAGAAGCAAGGTTTCTTTCATCATATCATATCTCATTCATCAACTAATTAGATAGCATACTTTTCCTATGATAGTTTGTTCACAAGCAGTGGCGAAGCTACATTATGTTGTAGGGGTCTGCCGACCCCGACGGCTTTGCGACTGCATCTAGTATTCTATGAATTTTGGCCATTGTCGACCCCAGCAAAAAAAAAAATCCTGACCCCAGCGGCCCAACAGCCCAGCGTGCCGCAGAAGCCGCAAGAAAATTCCACTTCGTGGACGTGATTCTATCTGGCCTGTACAGGCAACAGCCCAGATTTCCCGTTTGGCCTCCTTTGCACCGATCCAGTTCTTTCATTCTCAGCCTGACAGCTAGCCTCCCATCCCATCCGACGATCCAACTCCGCCTCTTGCCCTTGCCCCTTCGATCTTCCTGTCTTCTTCGTTATCGGGCGCGTCGATACGTCATGCATTCTGATGGTGGCGGCGGCGCGACGCCCCGCATCCAGTGAGGCGCTGCGCTCCATAGGGAACCTGAACGAGCCGGTGCGGTAACGCAAATCCCAAATTATTATTTTTTTATACGATGATCAAATCTGCACTCCATAGATTTAACTAATTTGATGTGAGTAGTGAGGTCTTAGGGGCTCTCTCTTTTTCTACCATACATCTACGTCAAAATCAATCTGAATGGTTCACTAAATATGGTTGCGAGTATTGTGAAAATGTGAGTTAGTGTTTGACGACGCTTTCAAATTTTAGAGTTTGATGGACTTGACTGATTCTTTGTTTGGATCAGTTAAACTTTTTATTAGCTATGTGATTAACAAATGTTCAAAAAATCAAAATAGGCCGAGCGCCTCTCCCTGCACGCCCTCTCCGCCCCGGCCTTCATGCCCCTGACCGGCCGAGCACCTCTCCCTGCGCGCCCTCTTCGCGTTGGCCTACGCGCCACAGCGGCCAAGCGCCCCGTCCTACGCTCCCCCTCTCCACCTCCGCGGGTGGCAGAGCGCCCGCAAGCCTCGACAGGGGCAATCCGGACTTCCTTC